GCTTCCATCATCCTGATATCTGCCATTGTCATGCCATACCAGCGATCCATCCAGCAAAACATTTGCCGATGAAACTTGAGGAGCAAACGTCGTACAAACTTTTGAATTATTTTTTCTACTCTAGTTTGTAGTCCCCACCACTTGAACTTTATTTCGTAATGCTTGAAACTGGTCATCATCGGATAATCACCTTGGATTTCTTTCCAGTTCTTCGACAAGGGACCGCGACCAGTTTTCATGGAACGACATTTGCTTGGATCTTCGTCTTGTCTATAATCTCTGGGTTCGATAGGATCATTCACTATATCAATGATGATGGGTTTTCCAATAAAAGGTTGCGCATTCCTGTTCTCTTCGTCGTCAGGTCGTCCAGATTTGTGCACAGTTTCAATAGTGATGTTTAAGCTACCTTTCATGTAGTCAGGATTTGAATAAATCGTCTTGCAGAACGGGTAGGCGTTCCATGATTTTTCATGAATTTCCAAAGACCCTTTAGGTGCTAGTAATCGTATGAATGCTGGAACCTTTTGAGCCAAGTGAAATATTTTGCGAGTATACTGGCCTTTCCCATGATACATCTTCATATGGTTCGTTTCTTACAATCTCAATCCCTTCGCCTCCACCAGTCTCTTCCTTGCTTGCTTCGGCCACGGAATACAGCTTGCCGATTTCATGTTCCTCTAATGTAAACGGCAAAGGAATTTGATATTGCTGGATGATTTCAGCGGACGTCTCATCAACGAAGCTAGTAGTAGACAAGAGGAATAAAGTAACCAGAAAACTGTAGAATCTCGTATTTGCGAGTGAACTGAACATTTTCTGCGTCTTTGACATCTTGGGTTGATAGTGATAGTGCAGCTTACTCTTTAGTGGGCAGTGAGCAATAGATCATGCATAGTAATGTTCCGCCTAAGTAAACAAACCAGTGTGAAAAAAWAATTCAAAATATATCCATGCAATTAAACCAAGCAATTTGATTGGTAGATATCGAAAATAAAAACCGCCAAAAATCGTATATGACAATGAATATTTTGAAGATATTTTCCAGGGCCCGATTGTACGAAGCCTTGGATAGCGCTATCCGGCGGATAAATTCTTATCCAGTGGATAAGTCGATGATGTTATAAATCGATGAGGATAAGATTTATCCGTCGGATAGCGCTATCCAGGCTTCGTACAACCGGACCTAGTACTCTAYTTCTAGTGTTTGATGAAATTCCTATGCGCCAATCAGGAGGAACCGACACGCCGCGGTCCAACTCTTTTGTGATTCTTGGCGTGCCGAGATGTATTGAAATTCCCGAATCATGATCATCAGTATTACTGAAAAATTCAGCGCCTATACATTGTTTGCTCATATAGCAGTTAGGAATCAAATAAGACGTTACATGTTTTCTGAATAAACCAACTAATGTTTTGGTTTGGGTTGAATGTATGACGTCATACGTTACTCGTGCCATTCTTGTTGAACCGAATTCTTGTAAAAACAAATTAATGGAGGACGAAATTAAATCGTAAAAATTTTGGCATTTTTCTTTCCAATATCAGAAAAAACTGAATTGACTTCTCAACTGCAAGACTTCTGGACTTCGCTGCCGTGAGCTGGCCGGTGGAAGGGCGAGTATTGTAGTGAGCCAAACTTCAGCTCAAACAAATACGCTATAAACCTTTTTATGGAAAGGAAATCGATAGTTATATTTTACCTTTAAATGTACAGAATGGTAGACCAGTTAGTAGCTTTTTAGTTTTTTTTCCAGAATGCTTGCAATTTTCATCGAATTTTGACGTCGCCAGCATACTCCATACGAGTGCTCCATACATTTTTTCTTCATAGATGCAGAGCCAATCAGAGAGCGCGTCATATCTTAGTTATGTTATAATCGGATTTGACTAAAAAACAGTCATCTCGCCCTATCATGGCGTATGGCCTATGAGTCAATAGCCCATTCGGCCTCAAGAAAGAAAAAGAAAACGCGCGCGCGTGCTGTGTGCAGTTATAAAGCACGCAGGGATTGACAGAACACGAGAGAAGTGTTTAGCGGAGTGCTTCTCGAGTGTTCTATCAATCACAAAGTGCTTTATTACTCCACACATCAAAGCAAGCAAGTTTTTTAAAAAAGTTTTATGAAATACAAATTACAATAACCGTTACTTTGGATAGAAATGACGCAATTGAAAGTGAGCGCGCGTGCTGTGTGCTCTTATAAAGCACGCGCTCCCAACCAATCAGAAGGCGATATTTATAACAGTTATTTTATGACTCATTGTCCATTCGGACTCGAGCACTAAATGCTAAATAGTATTATTAGTGATTACAGTCATGATAACGTCTATGTCATGAATTTAACATATTAGCAGATTAGAATGATAACATGTTTATGTTTTCCATGTAAAGATTTTGATAAAAATTGTCAGCTAAACTGATTGTGATATTTAAGTATCATTTTGTCTATAAACTTTTTTGAGGGAATCTTTTAAATTTAAGTTCAGCTCTACTAGCTAAGTTGGATGATTCCCATTAGCACCTAAATAATATTTAAAAAAACGTAGATGCATCTTTTCTGTTGGGTTTTTTTCCCACTTTTCAAGATGTTTTTGATAAACTTCCCAAATCTCACTCGAGTATGTGAGAATTGGAGATATCATAGAGTTAAAAAGTGAATTAGCTCGTTGTGGTTTAAGCTTTTTTAAAGTCAACTGTGCGATTATTCATTAATAAAATCATTAAGAGCTTTTCCTCTTGACTGATTTTGATATGCCGAAAAGCTAAATTTAATTCCTAACACATTTCCAAAGCGAATGCTTTCATTCGATGAATACAAAGAAAAAGATAAGTATTTCCGCGAAGATAGTACATTTAAGGCCGATCAAAAGAGGATTTATACCCCATGCGCGCTACAATACAATACGCGCTACAATACAATACGCGCTACAATACAATACGCGCTACAATACAATACGCGCTATAATACATTACAATATTTTTCCATAAATGTATACATTTTTTGAAAGCCAAATAAAGGTACTTTTCGAAAAAGTTTGTAGAATTGCCTGTTTGGGAAAGACCAAAACATTTATTGCCTTCAAAGTGACTATCTACCGCACTTCATTTGACAACTTCCCTTAGGATCAGACACGTTTGGTTGAGGAATGAACCGACTCAGGAAAAAGGTAAAAAATCAGTTCAAATTTCATAACTTAAGACTAATCTTTCCTGATTTATTCCTTAAAATAATTACATCGATACACATGCTGGGGTTAGACCCTCTTGTCTACACGACTAAGTTTATCTTAGATAACGATACTCCCCACTCAATCTATCCCGTGCAATACCTACTGTTATACACGTGTTGGGGTAAGACCACCCTGACTACACGACTAAGTTTATCTCAGATAACGATACTCTCCACTCAATCTATCCCGTGCAATACCTACTGTTATAAACGTGTTGGGGTTAGACCCTCTTGTCTACATGACTAAGTTTATCTTAGATAACGATACTCCCCACTCATTCTATCCCGTGCAATACCTACTGTTATACACGTGTTGGGGTTAGAACCTCTTGTCTACATCACTAAGTTTATCTTAGATAACGATACTCCCCACTCAAACTATCCCGTGCAATACCTACTGTTATACACGTGATGGGCTAGGCCAACTTCACTACATGACTGATACCTATCTTAGATAACAAAACTCTCTACTCAATCTATCCCATGCAATACCTACTGTTATACACGTGGTGGGTTA